CTTATGTTTTGACAATCAAGGAATTCCTTGACCATCTGGGAACACTAATTGTAATTAAGTACTATAATTAACGTTATTATGATATCATAAAGAGCATTTATATTGAAATTATAGTGTGTGTCTATGCAGTACCCAATAAAGATTGTATTGTTTGATGGGCAGTAATTAACCTAGCTCGTTATTACAGTATTGTTTGATCTCTCTCTCTCTCTCTCTCTCTCTCTCTCTCTAATAATTAAAAATTAAGTAATAAATATATTTAATTAATAATCTTATATTAATTGTCCAGGATGGCAAAGATAATATAGAAGTGACCATGATCAATTCTGCGCCTGATTTGGATCAAATGAGCCCTGAAGTGAATGATAAAATTTTGGCCGTGCTCAAATAAATGTTATTTTAATTAAAATTATCTTTTTAATTATATTTTGTCAACCAATTTTACAAACTATAGTCCCGGTTAGCAAATGCTCTAAGAAATAAATTGAGTTTTTTTTAATTGTTAATAAACTAAAAATAGAATCACATTCTATGATAAATAGCATAATATATTATATTAACAAACACTAAACTATCTTCTCAAATTTACTCATTGATGTAATAATATTTAAAAAGAACCAGTGTTATTGTTATATCTAGTATAATTAAAAACTATATTTCTCAATATGATCAAGTTATAAATTTATTATTTTCAATAATATTTGTTAAATTAAAAATTTATGTAATAAATTATATTAAAAATTATATTAAAAACATTTTAATCAAATTGATATTTAGAATTTTATTGATTTATTACACTTTAAGCATAAGTTATTCCTGAATATATTGTTTGTAATCAGAGCATTTCATTGTATTGATACGTAAATACAACACCCCAAATAGTCACCCTGTACTATTAAATCCTTTATTATTATTAAATGTGAAACAAAATACTCGTATAAATTCATTTAAATGCTAAAACTAATTTTTATTAATCATAATAAAATAATTTACATTCTATAATTAACATCGAGTACAGTACTGTATATGTGTATAGTTTAATAAAGGTTTAGTAATTAATACATAATAATTTTATTTCTTATCAAAAGTGACTAGCTCCTAGTGGGATGACAAGTGTTGTTAACACAGTGATAACGGTTAGGGCATGGTAAAGTACAATCACAAATAACCACATCCATTAACATTGTGCAAATAATGGCCATCACTACCAATGTAATCATCATTTACTTGATCATAATCATTTTATGCTTTAATTTGAAAATATAATTAATTTGTTAGTAAGTGAATTTAACGTGGCAACATCTGATACACCTGTTACACTTATAATAGTTAACTATATAAAAATTCTGTACAATTAAAATAAGTTTTGTATGATTTTATATCTAAATACGTGTTTTGTTAGACAAAATAATTTTGTAACGTAAATTATAATATCAAATTAATTGTGTTATCATCATGTTTGATTGTGATTAAGCACAATTTTTAGTTATTGCGATAATTTGTAATGATTAAGCAATTAACCTGTATAATAACTTCATAACAATTTTTAGTTTGTAAATTAAATTGTTGTATTGCATACCACTTAAAATATTATATTTTATAAAAAAAAATTAATATATTGCAACTTATTTTAAGTACTAATTATATTACTTGTAAATAAAAATAATCATTTTAAATGATTCATTTATCTATTTAACTTGCCATTTTATAACTATTAATTTAATTTACATTAATTATTTAATTTTTATTATAAAATAAATATCAATTATTTACAGATAATAAATCTTAACCAATAAAAAAAACTTACTTGTTAATTTGGTCTAAAAATTTAATAATTGATAAAGTTAGTACAATGTTTTTAACATTTTTAAACAAAATTTTTTTATTCAATTGATCATAGCCAATATCAAATATTTATCAATACCAATTTACATATCAAAATTAACAATTAAAATATGTAATATTAGAGTATATTATAATAAATGAATAGAGAATTGAGTAAACAACGTCATCTAGGACAATACTGGTTCGCACTCATTATTGGAGCAAATGTAATGTTGTTTGCAAGGTGGACAACCTCCAATTGCCACATCAAAAAGCATCGCGCTAATTAATGCTACCACCAACAATGTTATTATCATGTACTTAATCACAGGCATTCTTGCTATTATCTTATACTGTTTGTAATAATTAGATTTAGTATTAACCAAGTTAATTTGTTATTCACTTGACAACTAACAGAAATACTATTGAAATAATATTATTTTAGCTTTATTAATTTTTAGCATAATAATTTTATGACAGTAAATGTATTTGTAATTTTTATATTATGTGAGCAAGCAGGAAATTATACAGATATTACTAACTAAATATCTTAATGACAATTTTGAAAAATCATGATTAATAATAATACAGTGCAACTTCTCCATAAGGAACGGCCAGATGCACGACAAAAGTGTTCCTTATAGAGAGGGTTCCTCCAAGGGAGGTTTTGTTAAAGCTATAGAAAATCCAAAATATGCTTAAAATCCGTTCCTCTAAAGGAGGTATTCCCCCAAGAGAAGTTCCCCCAAGAGAGGTTGCACTGTATAAGGAATAACTTTAACATTATTAAAGAACTCATAAAATACTTGATAATTTTTATAATTTAAATTAATATTAACCTTCGATTTATTTTATAAACAATTATATTATTTTATATTTATAAAATTATTAGTTATAAAAATAATTAATTTTTTCATTTATTAAATGATTAGCTTCTATTAGAATTGTGTTTTAATAACACTAGACTTAATAAAAATAAAACTACAACAATTGCACTATTTAGTAAATAACCATGGTAAACATCTGGGTGTGTACATGACCAACCTCGCACCATTATGTTACGAATGGATTGTATGGGAAGTGTCAATGGGCTCATGTAGGCTATAAACCGATAGGTATGGGGAATGGCCTCAACCGGCCAAATGAGGCCCGACACAAAATACACGGGCATTATTATAGCCATTATAGAAATCTATATATTTATCAAATTAAAAAATTATACATCACTTTAAATATTATTAAATTTTATATTAATAATAATAATTATAGTAACAACATTATATTATTAATATACATAGGCGTATATATAATTAAGATTAGATATTAAATTTACCATAATAGCAGCAGGGTTGACGAAAATAGCAGCGAGTAATAAACCGACAAAAATGCCGACTAAATTCTCACTAAATAAAATCAAGAATATTTCCCAATAACTTCCCGATTGTTGGACACCTAATACGACAAACACCACAATCATGGCGACCATCATCTGAACTAAACCAGCGATAACGTTGACCAGTATATGGGACCCAATGTATTCATATACGGTCACACCGGCCACAAACACCCGGTTCATTATACGCGATGATTTATCATTTACCATGAGGAATGATGATAACACTAAACTCATTACAAAAGCCATGACAAGCATAAATTGCGGCCCTAAATACATAAAGTTGACCGTTATGTCGTGTAGATCGCCGTTAAATACATGGGCCACATTAATCGCGGTCATTTGTTGGTGAATGTTTGTCCTATTTAACATGTGGCCTAATTTCTCTAGGAATATATCAATGCCTTCCAAAACGTATTTAATTGACATGAAACCGATGTGAGGGTCTGTTTTAAATAGAAAAACATCATTAATAAAATAAATTAATTTGTGTAGATAGAAATTTGCAATCAATCTTTACAATTAAATTTTAATAAAGATGTATAGTTCAGTATATTGGTAAATTAGATGAAATATAATATACTACATAATATGCTACAAACTTTTTAATTTATGCAAAACAGCCACAACTATAATGTAAAACACGCGACGATATTAATAGTATTGAATGTATTTTTTTTTTTGGGGGGGGGGAGTAATGTTACATAAATGGTCACATAAATTAATCAAGATGAAACAATATAATATTATAAATATTTACGTGAAAGGTCTACATATAGTCGTATTAGGCTTTGTTCAACGGCCTCATCGCTGGCGTCAAACATATCGGTCACTCGTGTTTCAAAATTGGCGGAAAAGTTGTCCCGAAATTCAAACACTAAATAATTGTCACCATTTGTTACCGACTGAACGGCGCTATCGATCGATGGGTAATGAGATAAACGCACGTGTTTTGCATTCATTGAATTAATTATTAAGTTAGATAATGATGTTTCATTATCGACAGTTAGATCGGTATTATACACACCAATCGGTATGCGCTGAATGCTTCCAGCAAAGATCATTTTCATTACTACCATGGTTATAATTGTGATGCCATAATAGACGCACATAAATAGGGGGCGCTTTTTAATAGCAATCCATTGCTTTATAAGCATTGCTTTCAGTCGTTGCCAATCAATAAACGCATTGTTATTGTAATTAATGTTTGAGTCAATTGTTGTCAAAATATTGGTATTGTTTAAATCAATGTCTGTATTGTCAATGCGTTTCATGTCTTGTCTCAAAGTAGCCGTGTTTTCGCTGGAATGACACAACTGTAGGAACACGTCCTCCAGTGTCGGGCACTCGTATTCAGCCATCAATTGTTGTGGATTTGATTGTCTCAATACAGCGCCGCATCTCATGAACGCCACGTTATGCGCACTCCGGGCCTCCTCTATATAATGGGTCGTTATTATCACTGTTTGGCCTAAAAGTTAAATATTAATTATTGAATAATATTAAAAATATTTTTTATTATACCATTTTCAGCGCACATATTCTCCAAGTATTGCCATATCCTATGCCTGAGCAAAGAGTCCACACCAACTGTCGGCTCATCCAATATAACGAGTCTGGGTTTGTGTAACATTGTTATGGCGATCGACACCCGGCGCTGTTGTCCACCACTTAGTTCACTAATTCGTCGGCAATTGTCCGGTAAATGCAATAATTGTTGTAAATTACTAACATTTTTATCAATTTCCTCGCGTTTCATGTGATATATAATTCCGTAATAATTAGTTATTTCACCGACAGTGAAATAATCAAATAATGCCAACTCCTGAGGCATATACCCGACTCCCGGTCCGGGAATACCTGATCCTATAGAACCCGGTTCTTTGCCAAACACGTCAACTGTGCCCATGGTTAATTTTAATTCACCTAATATTACACGCATTAATGTGGTCTTTCCGGTACCGTTCGGTCCCAACAGTGCAAATATTTTACCTGTAATTTAAATAAAGTCTTAATAGTTATAAACATGTATATAATTGTAAACTATTTTTATATTAAATAAGTTTATGATAAAAGTAAACTATATTTAGTTTTTAATATAATATTTTTAAATATTTAAATATTTTACCTTTGGGTATTTGCATCGTTAAATGATTTAAGACTACGTTATTAATTTTATAGCTAAATAAAGCATTTTGTATATTCACAGCCATTTTGTTACACAGATTATTATGATCATAAATTGGGCCCTATTAAACAAAACGTAATTTATAAAAGTTGATATTTATTATAATTTAATTAAATGAATTTAATAAAAATCCAACATGATAAGGCAACTATTTAAAACCAACAAATGCTTTCAATAAAATAATTACTATTTATTATTTTGAATGAATAAATATTGTTATTTTTAAATATGATAACATTTACATATTTGAATTGAAGTTATAATGTTTTCAATGTAAAAGTTGGATATGCTTTACACTAGCCAATCATACGTGTAAAGCATATCCATATCCATAATGTATATGTTAATTTAACATAAAAACGAAATAAAAACCTTCATGATAGTGTTTTTTAAAAAATTATTGAGATTATTATCATGAGTTGTAAATGCAAAAGTGAATTTTTAATTTTTATTTATAAAAATTAATTGAATAACAAATTATAACGAGTAAATAAAGTACTGTTTAATCCATAGGTAATCAATGCATTGATAGTTTTTATGAGTCAACAGGATATTTAGAAACGACTTTCTTATAACTTTCTTTATATACCATATACTTATTTGTGAGTTTAAGTTTATAAAATTTAATAATTTTTATATCCATTAGTTGAGTAATAGCAGACATATAAAGACAATTATGTATGAATATATTTGGGCACTTTTAATAAATCAATGTAAAACTACATTGAATTTTACATTGATTTATTAAATGTTTTGTATAAATATGTTAATCATTTAATTTACAGATATTTTTATAGATTAAGTATATGTAAGTAAATAAATTATTACTATTACTAAAATTGAATATAAATAAAGTTTTGTTAATTATAAATTTGATAATTTGATATCGTTTTAGTATATATTGTCATTAAATGTCCTCCATTTTTCAAACAATGGATATAAAAAAAGTCATTACATAAAATTAAACTCAGATGAACACTACCATAAAATATTTCTTAAGCCCAATGATTATTTCTAATAAAATATTAACGCTAAACTAATTTCCAAAATTTTGTATGCACTTTAATTTAAAGTGTAGAAATTTAATTTACAATTACGATACAGTAACTATGTATTATTACTTTTAAAAGGCGCAATTAAAATGTATCCACTTGTCAACATATTTAATAATTATTAATAAATAATTACAACTGATTCTCATATATGAATATTAAGTTATAAATGTCTCAATTTTTGGACCACCATGGTTAAGTATTATTTACTTATTTAGATCCAATATAACTTTACCTGCCTTTACCCAACCAAACTAAAAATGTCAATAAACTAAATATTTATAAAACAACATTTTAACATTAATCATTTCAAATAACATTGTTTTTATTTTAAAAAGTAATTTATAGTAATAAAAGTAATAAAAATAACAATTAAAGTAAAAAGTAATTAAAGTACTGATAATAATAAGTAAAGTAAATTTAATTTTTTTTAATAGTACAATAAAAAGTATACAGCAAGTTAAAATATAGATAATATAAAATGTTATAAACTATACATTAAATGCAGTATAATATTAATTAACACTTTATATAATCTATATTTCATCTTAAGGTATACAACAAGATGAAATATAGATGATACAAAGTGTTAATTAACATTTTATCGCATTTAATGTATAGATTATAGCATTTTCATAAAATATAATTAGATTTCGCAGATAATTGTAAACATGTTTAACATTTATTTGAGCACGGACAAAAGTTTTTCATTCATTTCAGCTGTAATAATATCCGTATCGTGCCCAGAATTGATCATGGTCACTTCGATATTATCAGTCCCATCCTGGACAATTCAATAAAAATAAATTAAGTATATTTATTAATAAGAGAGTGAGTGAGAATGCAAAAAAGTACTGTAAAGCATTGTACTTTACATTATACAATTATACTGTACTTTATATTATAAATTTAATTATAATGTATTATACAATAGTACTGTACATTAAATTGTAATAATCAACGCGTGAAATTGCATACCTTTACGTCGGGCAATAGATGAGCGTCACGTGATTTGCCAATCAATTCATTGACATCATCGATGTCATCCATAATAACAGGTTTGATCATGATCAATTTGCCCACACTTTTGGACCACTTCTTAGCAATTGTCACTTTGAGCCGATTCGACCACTTTTTCTTCTTATCCGATCTATACGTCAAAAGCATCCGAAGTCTGGCCAACACTATGTGGTAAATCTCGTCGATATCGGGCGCCACCAGACCTTTGCCCACAAACTCTATCAACTCAGTGACTATGACTCTGATCTGTGATTTGATGTCCGACTGTTTTTTCATGTCGCGCACTATCCTATCAAATATGGGAGCGGGAACTTTGCTAAACGATACGCCAAATATAAACAACAACAAGTCTTCATCTGTGATTTGATCCACTTCTGCGTCGTCGGCCATAGCATCGATGATCACCGCTTTGTCCGCCGATCCCTTCAATAACAGTTTCCCGGCGGCGATAGCGCCGTCCAAATAGCCGACCACATCGTACCCACCCCTGGGCTCCAGTTGTTTCATGAGTGTCACAAAGTACTCATTTACTTGTTTGAGCGTGGTCAGGGTGCTCATCTCGCGGGTCCAATTAAGCCCAATCACTGGCCGATTGAGCGATTGAGCCAACTGTTCAAACATGGTCCAATTCATAGTAATCGTAGGCATTAGATACACGGGTCGACCGGTGGTCACCGCGTTTAGACGGGTATGCGTTTCGGTGGGTATTATAAACTTCTGTTTCAACAGATATGCGCGGGCAACTTTAATCTCATCCAGGAACTTTTTCACTACATCCGGATCTCCCGACTCGTAGTCCTTCAACATTCCAATCGTAATGCTTTTGACGTTATGTAACGACACGTTTATATTCCACTCCTTCTCCAACGACTGCTGCAACTCTACGGCAAACATCGACTCGAGTCCTATCTCTCCGAGTGTCAGGTGATTGGGAGTGACGGACGGGTCGATACCCAACGCCCGCCACAACTCTGCGATTATATGCGATTTGGCGCCCGACGACGCCTTTGCACTCATATCCACTTTGGTCTATTTGCAACAAATAATTATACATATTATGTAAACAATTATATGATTATTTATACAGTAACTGTAGTGTTGAACATGGACAAACATGTTATATACATTATAATAATTATAATTAGTTATTTAAATCTAATAGTTATCTTATTATTAGATATATAAATTCACGTGTAACTTTATCCTTTGTAATTAAATTGATTGAGCAAATAATTCAATTCAGTCGCTAAGTTGTAACATTATCATTAAGGTTTAAATCATACTTGGTTATTCTAGCAAAAAAGCTACACATATAGAGTATAATACATACATATGACGTGACGACTGGCTGTTTAAGACACAATAGTTTGTCCAAAACATCGCAACACGAGTTAATTCTCTGCTTTCTGAGTGTTGTCATCTCCAAGAGCTGATCCGAGCCCTCAAACACTCCCACATCACCGACGGGTCCGTACTGTACGGCCAGTCCGTGCAGACCATCCCTACGTCTCTCTTCACATATACGCTCACACATGGAGTTCCCGAACGAATAGTTTGATTGCCCGGCGTTTCCTTTACCACAAGTGACGGACGAAAACATAACAAAATAATCCAATGGATAATCCAATTGTCGGGTCAGTTGATCCAAATTTGCAAATATTTTGTGTTTTGTATCAATCGATGAGCAAAACTTTTCAAACGTTAACTTTTCTAACAAACAGTCATTCAATTCAATTGCCAAATGAAATATCCCTCCAATCGGTCCCAACTCTTGTGCTTCTCTTAGCAGTTGTTTTGTGCCCTCAATTGTGAATCCATCGGCAGTCGAGACAATCCATTGAGACTCCAATACTTTCATATTTTTGTAAAATTTTTTCATACGATTGTGAATGAATTTCTGATATTCAGTGCGAAGTCCGGATCGAGAAGTGGTCACAAACTTTCGGGCGCCGAAGAACTGCATCCATGGAATCAATTCCAGACCAAAGCCACCCAAACCTCCGGTAATTATATAGACTTTGTTTGGATCGAAGAATGTCTTAATCGTTGTCACCATATCTACGGCCGGTTTTATGGCCATCAGTGGCCGCCTATCCATCTCTTCGTCTCTCAATTTAATGACAATTTTTCCCATATGTTTACCGGTTGTCATATATCGGAACGCTTTGTCCGCATCCTTGGCCTCAAACAGTGTATAATTCAATGGCTTTACGCATCCATTCTTCGAGTTCTTGTGAACCCAATCGTAGAACTCGTCGAAAAAATTAACATCAGTGATAAAAGCCATGTCCACAACAATACCGATAAATTGGATGTCGCGCGCAAAATCAAACATGCCTATTTGTTTGTTTTGTATCATGTCATATCGACCTAGCTCAATAAAGCGGCCACTATTGGCCACACACTCATAGCTGGCGTCGAGTTTCTCTCCGGACAATGAGTTCAACACAACGTCGACTCCCTTTCCGTTCGTGAGTTTCAATAGCTTTGCTTTGAATAACACATCTCTTGAGCCGAATATTCTCTCCTCCGGTATATTGTATTCATTGATCAGAAATTGTTTCTTCTCTTCGGTGCCAACCGTTGTATAGATATCGCAGTCGTTTTCAATAGCTTTGCTTTGAATAACACATCTCTTGAGCCGAATATTCTCTCCTCCGGTATATTGTATTCATTGATCAAAAATTGTTTCTTCTCTTCGGTGCCAACCGTTGTATAGATATCGCAGTCGTAATGCTTACACATATTGATGGCCGCCTGACCCACACCTCCCGCCGCCGAGTGAATCAATACACTCTCGCCTATTATTTTGAACAGTTAATACAATGGTTATTATAATTAATTAAATAATAACTTATGGCTATTTAGTGCCGTGTGCAAAGTTAAGGCAACTCAAATCTAGACTACTGTGCTCTCTGTATAATTCCATACAAACCTCTTTTTAGATTAGCCCGTTTGATGAGCGCGTAATACAGTGTGCTATATGTGCTCAATATAGTGACCGCCTCTGCCATCGACCAGTGCTCGGGAACTGTAGTCATGCTATTAATAGTGGCGTTCAGTGATGTGGCGAACGCACGAAAATCAATACCCATCACCCGTTCCCCGGTATCCACGCGACGGCCCGCGTATTCACAGCCCAACACACAATCGGTAAACATCTGCTCCGGACCGCCGGGTATACGACCTATAGTTAGGAAATTATTTTAAATAATAGAAAATGGCTTCAAACTATTAAGCTAAATTATGAGTGTTTATATTTGGGTAAATTTTTTATAAAAAATTATACTTTAAATCATTATAACACATCAAAAATTTACACAAATTTACACACAATGAGCTATATCATTTGTAATTTACCCGACGCAACCATAACGTCATGAAACGAAACGCCCGCACAATATATATTGACACGTGTTTTATAGACCTCTTTGTTTCCAAAATTCCAGCCCTTTTTAATTTCGGGTAATTTTCGGGAATCATACCATTGAAGACCCCCTATATCTCTGATCGCACCCGAGTTTAGGTAATATTCATTAGAAACACATTTATCAAAATCTGCGGGAAGTTTGAAATGTCTATAAGTTCCCAGTTTTCCTCCTTTGATAACATTAGCGACCAAATCGTTGGCCAATATATCAGAATAGGGTTTAGTATTGAAGTCAATGTTTGCCACACTATTGGTGTCCATAAGGAAGACATACCGGAAGTTCTCTCCGCCCGGTTCTAAACGCAAACAATTCATTAAACCTATGATTCCATTGATATACGAATCCTTAGAGACGAGCCATACGTTATCTGTTTTATTTTCCACATTCATAGCAGTTATTATTTTGTCTTGTAATACACCGAACCATTGCTGGTAATCACCGCTTATGTCAATCACATTGTGTTTCTCTGGTATAATAGGTTTGTGAATGATTTTCCTGAACATTAGGCATAGGGTTCCGATTGTATCGTTTTTAGTAGCAATTAATTTAAATCCAGTTTTATTTGCAATCAATTGAAATGTTTTAATTCTTGCCTCCAATTCATTATTACTGGGAATTGTGTTTCCCTTCAAAGACATGAACGCAATCTCCGGTTCCGTAAACTTATAACGAAATATCGATACAAGAAATCCATTTGTATTAATCGAGTCAAACAAGTCTTGTATGAATTGAGACAAATCTATTGGCCATAAGTCTTGTGAGTCTCTCATTATAACCAAATGCGACGGCTTTAGAGGTATTTCATCATTTGGTTGCCATTCAGAAGCCCTCTCTCTATACAATTCATTCACCGATTGTTTACTTTTTACGATTAGTTTGTAATCGACTTCAAAGGGAATAATAGCGAAATATGTGAACATCTGTTCGACATCTTTAGCCAGAAAACTATCGCTGAAATTAATTTCAGTGATATTTATCTCTTTAGCGTTCAAATAATTTTCGCACACAATGTCTATCAATGATCTAATCATACGCTCATTCTTCTGGATCTGATTTACAACATCTTTACTCAAATTGTATTCACTATTTGTTTGCATTTCATTCAAAATCTTTGACACTTCATTACCATTGATTTTATTGCTATTTTTATCCAAAACTTCTGTCAATATTTTATCAAACGTACGAAACATTACGTGATTTTCATTGTTTTCGTTTCGAAATTCTTGTGTCACATCTTCGCTGAAGTTTTGATAATTAAAATCGCATTTTATTTCTTTTATACCAATTTGTTTCACTTTAGCCGCAAATGATTTGCATACCTAGAAATATGTTCATATAAAATAGATTATGTCTTATTATAATTTAATATTATAATATATCTACGAATGTTCAAAATATAAATGACAATCTTTTATTTATCACCATTCGGGAACATATATACTGTATATTACTTCTAAATACTTGGACACAGCGGCCAATAAGCAGCCATCGATAGCCTGATTGTCATCGTTGGGGCAAAACTCCTGGGAGTCTAACACGAGAGCAGTGGTGTCCTGACGACGGGGTGCGGGAAACGCGATAACCTCTTCGAGTTCAACGCCCGGCGACACCAACTGTTTGGTCGCCGTATTGTAATAAAATGGCATTTCAGCCGAGTATTGGGCAAAGCGTTCAACGAAACGTGTCTTATCCCTGTCGGCCATATGCGACACTGTCTGGCGTTCGTCGGCCGGCACCACGTGATGAAATATTACAATTTTACTCATGTCCTCCTTAGGCACGTCCGGCCCGACTTGCCCCTCATCGCACCGGTGGCTCCGGAATGCGTCAAACATTACGTGTGGGTCGAGCCGTAGCTTACGTATGAGCACCGGTAACAGTAACTTTCGCAACGGTACCGATAGGACCCTCGACTGCAACAGTGCGTCCATATAAGTGACAAACTGTCCGTCCCATTCGCACACACCGTAAAACTCGTTGTAGTCATCGGTGCCCACAATCTTTAACCGTCGGAACGCCTTCTTATAGTCCAATCCAATACAACCCAACTCTTTGTATATGTCGTCCGTACGTATGGTATGTTCGGCGGCCGCCAAACGCCGATTGCAATCGTAGAGCAAGTGCTGCGCGATTAGTACGTTGTCGTCGACTGATGCAATAATTTTGCCCGAAACGCATACGTTACCCTTTTCGTATATCGCAAAGTCACCTGGGTGGTATTATAATAATTATTATTATAAGATTGGTCTATGACACTTTGTTAATTGATTATTGTTAAATTTTGATTATTATTATTGTTTGAAATGATTGTTTATGTCTCTATTTATTGGCTAAAATGAATAATACATAGCCCGCCCATAATTTATGGTAGATAGAATTTTGAAAATAGGTATAGTTTTAGTACTGAACATTTTTAAACTTTACTAGTTGGTATAAATTTTTACAAAATTAAATTATAATAAAAAATATTTAAAGTGATTATTTAACAGTTCATTAACAGTTATCCAATGATAATTTAAAAAACTAATCATAATCTTAATTATGAATGGGTAGGCTACTTACTATTCATTTAACCCAATAATTGATTGTTCACGGTTAGATATTTTCATTATTCACATTTGCCCATCAAATTTTTGGGTAAATACATTCAACCAAAATGAGTAAAACTTGAAAATGTGTAAAACAATTTAACCACTTGTGGATGAATGTGTCATTTTGTGGACGTATTGTCTGTTGGGCCCATTAGGT